TCCTGAAACACTATTGCCCCCTGGTCGTGAGAAGCAGGCAATGCATGCAAATTGAATCTCTGAAGCATTGACTCCTAGTTTGAAAAACATGAGATTAGTAACGGTATTACTAGGGATGGGAGGCCTTTCCCCATTTTTTCTCATTTCCTGCTGAGACTGGTGAAAATTTTACCAGCACTTTTTTGTGTGACAGAACTATCTAACATTAATACTGTATTTCTTCCATTCCGAGAAACATTTTCTTTCTAAATAATCATCTCTAAAAATTGAGTGCATCTTAATTGCAGGTGTATCTTACGTATTTTTGTTGGTGGTGGTACTTAAATTTTAGTATATTTTACGATCAATTGTGTCTTACAATTGAAGAAATATGGTATATGTATTTGTAAGTGGAAATGAATGAGTTTGAGATGAAAAACAACACACACACACACACACACACACAAAATGAATAACATTCACAGTCTCTCCTAGCCAATTTGATTTCTTGTCTTATAAAGTTTGGATTTTAATGCCTGCATAAACATTTTAGTAATGCCAAACTAGAATAGCCATCTCCTTTCTTCAGACAGGCTTCACATCTTTAAGAGATATCTGAAAAGTAAATACTGTATTGTAAGAATAATGTAATCTTGCAAATTAATAAGGTTTTTTTTTCATTTATTTTCAAAAGAATTTACCACATTTGACATTTTTTCACAAAAAACTTGAGATTAGAAGTTTGGCTGAAAAAAAAAGATTTTAGCTTTGTAGAAGATCAAATTCCCTGAAAGGGATAAACAGATTGATTCAGCTATCCTTATCTTCTGTTCTGTTTTTTTTCTGCATTACACTATTCCTACAATCTGCTGTTTAATTAGTAGTTTTTGTTAGGCCTGGTTGATCAAGAAAAAATTTGTTTCTAAAATCGATTTGTAATTGGGGTTTTTTTTTGTTTCGATATTTAAAATAATTACAAAACTTTCCCAAAAAAAGTTTTGGTATTTACAAAATATTTACAAAACATTTTGTAAAGATGGTGGACCCCCGCGCATGCGCAAAATCACTTCCGAAGCTTCGTTATTGGCGCGGGGTCGATTCGTTAAGGTTATAACGAATCAATTCGTTAAAATGGCAGACGCGATCGCGCATGCGCAAAAGCGGCTTCCGAAACGTCGTTATTAAATACGATTCAATTCGATATTGAGATAATAACGAATCGATTCGTTAAAGCGAATATTTTGTATTTTTTTAAGAATAAAAGACAGGTATTTTTAGAAAATATTCAAAAATGGAAAATTAACCCAAAACTGGCCCTGATGTGGACCAAACACAGCCACGAGACAGGGAAAATGAGAGCACACACCAACAGAAGAGTCTTTTCTTTTTTAGAATATGTTTGTGTTTTTTTAAGAATAAAAGACAGGTATTTTTAGAAAATATTCAAAAATGGAAACTTAAACAAAAACTGGCCCTGATGTGGACCAAACACAGCCACGAGACAGGGCAAATGAGAGCACACACCAACAGAAGAGTCTTTTCTTTTTTAGAATATTTTTTGTATTTTTTAAGAATAAAAGGCAGGTATTTTTAGAAAATATTCAGAAATGGAAAATTAACCCAAACTGGCCCTGATGTGGACCAAACACAGCCACGAGACAGGACAAACGAGAGCACACAGCAACAGAAGAGTCTTTTCTTTTTTAGAATATTTTTTGTATTTTTTAAGAATAAAAGGCAGGTATTTTTTGAAAATATTCAAAAATGGAAACTTAACCAAAAACTGGCCCTGATGTGGACCAAACACAGCCACGAGACAGGGCAAATGAGAGCACACACCAACAGAAGAGTATTTTCTTTTTTTGGAATATTTTTTGGTTTTTTTAACAATAAAAGGCAGGTATTTTTAGAAAATATTCAAAAATGGAAACTTAACCAAAAACTGGCCCTGATGTGGACCAAACACAGCCACGAGACAGGGCAAGTGAGAGCAAACACCAACAGAAGAGTCTTCTCTTTTTTAAGAATATTTTTTGTATTTTTTTAAAGAATAAAAGACAGGTATTTTTAAAAAATATTCAAAAATGGAAAATCAACCCAAAAATGGCCCTGATGAACAGCTAACACAGCCAAAAGACAGGGCAGTCGAGAGCAAACACCAACAGAAGAGTCTTTTCCAACAAAGAAGAGTCTTTTCCAACAATGCAAGTCTTTACCGCAACCAACTAAGCCAACCCAAAGCAAGCAGCCCTCCCGTCCCGGACCTCTCTCCTCCCTCGCCTCCGCGCAAATGAGCTCTGCGGCCACGCGGAGCCGCTTTTAAAGGCCTTCCCGGCCAATCAAAATCAGCCACGGTGCACTGCTTGGGAGCGCCGGATTGGCTCCCAGGCACCAGCATCCTCCATCCAATTTCGAAACGGGCGGAAGCTCGTTAAAAGGATGGGGGATGCCGCTTCGTTATTTTAAAACCCTTCCGGGTTTGAAAAAGTGTTTTGATATCGATTCGTAAATGCTAAAAATAACGAATGTTTAACGAATAACAAAATTAACGAACGAAACCGCACAGGCCTAGTATTTGTCTAAGATTAATTTCAGAACTGTGTCACATGCAGCTTTTTATTAATGTTTATTGTTTGCCTCTCCTTCTTAATAACACTATATGCTTCTGAAAAATAGTATCATGTATTAGTCTGAGTGTTGGTCCAGGGCTTTGGGAAACCAGAGACTGAATCCCTGCTCAGCCATAGAAACCCATTGAGTCTCACACTCCCAGACTCAGAGAAAGATAATGGCAAACCTCCTCTTAACAACTCTTGTCAATAAAATCTCAGGTTAAGGCATTAGGATCACCACAAATCAGAAGTGACTTGAAGGCACAGGACACTATCAACAAATATGATAATGCTGTATATCATGATAGCAAAGTAGGCTTGATGAAAGAAAATCTATTATGGCACCACAATCATTTTGTATGTCACTTTAATGATGTACAAAGGTAATCTTGCATGTTGATGAAACATAAAAGATGGGATAACTTTGGCACATGTGTTTGGTCATCTTGGTTAAATTTTGATGCAATATTGTACACAATCATATCAAGATAGCTTTTGTATGCCCCTTAAGAATGCAAACATACAAACTAACATGGAGTAAAGGAAAAAAAACATACCCGCACAGAAGTAATCAAAATGTGCATAATATATTCACACAAAGTTATATCCTATAACTTTCATGTAGGTGTTTGGACAACTTTTGTACAGGCGAAATTTGTGTGAATATTATATGTTTCAGCTAATAAATATTTCCACGGGGGCAACACTGAAGCTACATTAGAAGGAAAGTTGTATAGCACATCTGCAGAGTAAGCTCTGTTAGTCTATTGTAGCTAAAACAGTGTTGCTTATTAGCATATAAATGACTCACTCATTTATTATCATAGGATAAATTTTAATGCTGACCTTAATGGCTTAAGAGGAAGCATTAACTATTGTAGATTATGACCTTGAGGGCATGGATTGTACTGTTTTACTGATCTGGAAGCATCTCTGGAAGCTTTTGTGGTGAGCATTCAATAGCATTCAATAAATTAATATCACTGCACCAAAAGCTATTAAGATCCTGAATTGCTCTTTAAGTTGCTTCTCCAAATATATACTTCCAAATCTTTTCCTCTCCTCATTAGATTTCCTGTTGAAATAATCTGAAATCCTTGTCAAGATATTCTCTCACTATTTTAAAGTTATTATAAACTTATGTTATATTTCCCTCCTAGTCTGGGTGCTGAAAGATGGGAGTAAGAGAAGCTCCGACAACTTACAAATGTAGAAATGTGGATGTTTATCTAGTAATGTGGAACAAGACTAATTTAGAGTAAGAGTGGGGAACTGTTGACGCACCAAAACTGTGGGATTAAGATCACATGGATTCTATGATCTCTAACTAAGATATCTAGGAATTGAAGTCCAAAATATATAAACCAATTCCTCATTACTGATTTAAAGAGAGAAAGAGAAGACTCTTACTATATATACTCCCTTATAAGTCAACCTCATGTACAAGTGAAGAGAAAATTTGGAGGCCATAATTATGGAATTTAATATGACCCACAGGCAAGTATTCTGTGGAGAGATGGACTTGCCAAATATACCCTAGAGGATCAGTTCCCCTGGTTGCTATCCTTACCATTTTCCCATACAGGTATTCAAAAAGTCCAGAAGCAATGGCATGATAGAAAATGTAGAACGGGTCAGTGTTTCTTTAAGGTTCTCCCAAGGCAGACTAAACTCTTGCCTTTCACTACCTGACTTATAGAAGGGGATGATTTCTTGTTTTGATAAGAATAAGATTCAGTACTCATACTGTCTGGTTATTTTTTTTTCCATGACAGGAGTGACTTGAGAAACTGCAAGTTGCTAATGGTGTGAGAGAATTATCTGTCTGCAAGGACGTTGTCCAGGGAACGCTCAGATATTTTACCATTCTGTGGGAGATGTCACTCATGTTCCCACAGAAGAAGCTGGAGCTGACAGATGGGAGCTCACCCTACTCCCCAGATTTGAGCCCCTGACCTTTCGGTCAGCAGTCCTGCCAGCACAAGGGTTTAACCCATTGCACCACTGGTGGGATAAGCTGACCCAGGGTTTTTTTCTTGGGGGGGGGGTGTCTATTTTTGACTTAAAATTTTAGACTAGTAGGGGCCTCATCACACTATAGAAAAAATCCACTTAAAATCTGATTTCTGCTTCCTGCAGAATTCTGGGGTTTATAGTTTAGGGAGAATGCTTTAACAGCCTCACTAAACCACAAACCCCAGAATTCTGCAGAAGGCAGAAAGTGATTTTTTTTCCTCCAGTGTGATGAAGTGGTTATATGAGTATTTACAGTACATTCATTCTGCAAGAATGTTGCAAGGGATGGGGTGAATGTGAGATTTTCTGGGATGAAGTAATGATTCTGTGTCTACCACCAGAACCAATCGAGTTAAAAGACCCTTTTAATAATACTTTTCAAGTTCTACTCACCAGTCAAAATCTGCCTCTGTACAAACACATGGTTCAGATGCCATAGCACCGGCATACTTGCCCTGCATACATTTCTTTTCTGACTTGCGTTTCTTGTAGATTCTTTTTGCCCCCATGATGCATGCCTCTCCCTAGGTAGAGAACAGGAGAAACTCTCTTTGTATTATAATTAGCATTATTAAAATATATGCTTGGGGCACCAGTTATTAGGAAAAGCAAAAATTATATTCAGATAAATTAGTCACATTTTTCTTGGACTTCACACTTCAAATGAAAAAAATCAAAAGGTCGCTTGGACCACAGCATGCATGCATGCATGTGTGTGTGTGTGTGTAAATCAGTTGTTCTCAACCTGTGGGTCTCCAGGTGTTTTGGCCTACAACTTCCAGAAATTCCAGCCAGTTTACCAGCTGTTAGGATTTCTGGGAGTTGAAGGCCAAAACATCTGAGGACCCACAGGTTGAGAACCACTAGTGTAAATGAATCATAAATTGAGGCTCGTTGTTAAGTACTGGATGTATCTTCTTTGTCCAACATGCAAAATGTGCAATGTAGTAATGTTGCAATAAACAAACAGAATTCAGCTAACAACTGTTCAGCGTATCCTACCAGACAAATCAGGATATAAATTCTCCTACAGTCAACTTTCCATGAGCGATTCTAATTTGGCTCCAACTACTATTGTGTATTTGGTCACTAAGGAGTAAATTATGAATTCCATGTCACCAAAGCTCTCTGACCCATAGGTATGATCTATGTGTCTAAGCCCCAGCTAGCTTCTCCTTTGTATCATCTCTAATTGGATGGCTATAAACAGTCTACTAGCTAAACTTTAATTACTTAATGGTGCTTTAGACACTCACTATGATATCTTCAACTTTAGCTTCTACCCTATGAACAGCAATGAGAAGGAAAAGAAAGCCCTCACCCACAGCAATTAGTTGAATAAGAAGAAATTATCCTGCATATTTTAAAGAAAGGAGCTGCTTGGATGTGGCACTGAAACCAACAGGGCTATGTCAGCCCTTGTCCTGGCTGTTACGTGTGTTTCCAATTGGCCTTTACTTCACACAGAGAGAAACTATCATTTCCTTTGAAAAGGAAAGATGGGTAATTCATGAATTAGCAGATATTTCAGCATTGCCTCGTATTTATGAATTCTGACCCAAGAAATTAAGAGGGGAATCCAGAATCAGCAATATCCTGTTGTTAGGGCTTTATTCGCATAAAGAACCCTACCTCTTCCATGACATATAAGAACCCCTGTCTCTTCCATGGCACAACTCACTACATTCCTCGGAGTTGCTCAATCCTCTTTGAAGAGTGTTCGGAGAGAGAGCAGTTGCTGAAGAGGGGAGGAATGAGGGCATTTCATATTCTTTGCACAGTTGCACATGCCACAATATGGGTGTAATCCAACATATGCAATTAGGGAAACTGTGGCAGAGGGCAAATCCACCTCTCAAATATTTTACCTGGCTATGAAGTTGCCATGGCCGGTAGTCATCATCAGCACACCGTCTGTCAAAAATAGACTTGTAGTCTACTTTTACCAGCTGCCACTCTGAGCGATGGCTGAAATGCCCAAAAACCCTGCACAAAACAGTTAAATATAATTTAGGATATTTCAATAATCTGTGCTTCATACGGAATCAGAGAATCGGAGCATCTGAAGGAACCATGCATATCAAATCCCCCCCCCCCCCGTGCAAACATCCACAATAGAAGCATCTCTAAAATAAGTAAAATATCAATGCATGGGATCTGTTTTAACCTAGACGTGGAAAAAAGGCAGGACAATGGTGATGAATGACAACATCATTAATTCAAATTAGCAGGGAAGAGTTTTTTCTGCATCTTCTAAGGCAGTGGTGGCCACCTGGAATCACTCTTCTAAGGTGACAAATGTGATATTTATCTTACTATTGTTTTATATACAAGTGTAAATGTGGAACCATTCTCATCAAATTTATGTAATGCAAATTATCTATTAGGAGTGTGCCAAAATTTTGTTTTTAATTATTAAGCCATATCTAATTCATAAGTTTTGTATATATGAAAAAATATTCAAAACTGGATAGGGGCACAAAAACTTAGGATAAAAACTCACCCAATACCTTTTCATTTGAATTCTGTAATGTTCAGAAGCCTATCAAAGTCAGTTTCATTTTAAGCACAAGCAAGGGAAACAAAAAAGGCTGCAATTCCTCTTTAAATTAATGGCTTCTCATCATGAGGAGAGGAAAGCAGGAGGACGGGATAAGCTGAGTGAGCTGGGAAAGAGACTGAGAAAGCACAGAATTCTAAGAAAAGTAGTTTGGGAAGGCAAGGAGACCTATAGCAGAGAATTCAAAAGCTCCTGCCCTGAACTACATTCCCTGAAGATTTTTCCCTCCTAGCAGCAGCCAGAGTTCCAATAAATTGTTGAATCTGCAAAGAGGAGGACTGATTGATACTTGAAGTGAGTAAATCAGTGCTGGGCTGGAAAGAAATCCCTAAATTGTAGGGCTGGGCGGTTTCGTTTCGTTAATTCGTAATTCGTTAAAAATTCATTATTTTTTTTGATAACGAAGCGATAACGAACCATTCTGGAGCAACTTAAAAACAAACGAATTTTTAAATTCGTTTCGTAAATGCTTCGGATTCGTTATGTATTCGTTTCGTTATCGGTTTGAGGTCGTTTAGTTATTATTTCCGCATGTCTGGGGCAAGTTTTATAGTTGTTTTTTGTTTAATTAGTGAAAAAAAATTATAATATCACACCAACAGTCAACAACAGAGGGAGAGGGAAGCTTCAGAAGTTCCCCCTGTCCCATTTGGAGGTTTTTTAGCGTATTGCGCGGTCGCGTCCGCCATTAACGAATCGATTCGTATTCGTTTCGTATTGTTTCATAATTTTACGAAATTTCGTAAATATCGAACTTTTTTAAAGAAAAATTTCGGAATTCTTTTAAATATTGAAACGCAAAAAACCCCAAAAAACGAATCGATTTTAGAAACAAATTTTTCCGTTGTTACCCAGGCCTACTAAATTGACATTTTATGACAGACATTCAATGAGATAGTTGCTGTGGCTTTTTTAAAAAAGTATCAGCATTTTAGAAAATCCCAAAATAAGCCGCATGTATGAAAATAAGCCAGATGTATGAATATTTCTGAAACTTAGGGGAGGGGAATGATCTTCTGTTAGCTTGTGTCGTTCTGTAGAAAATTCAGGGAGATAGCTATTCTAGTTTTCTTTTTAAAATGTTGTTTGTAAAAATTTTGATAATTCCTTGAAACTCCATGGATGAGTGAAACATTCTGAAACTTGATGGGATAATAGCGGTAAATATGTTCTGTGATTGTAGCTCTAACAATGAGGGAGAAAGGCACCCCTGAAGTTTCTCCATTGGCACAATTAATTACTGAATGAAAAGTAACAGAAAAGGAGTTAACTCCTTACATTTATGATACAGACCATGTCCAATTTTGGAAACACTTTAGAAACAATTTTCCCCCACCCCCTAATTTCATAATGAGTATTGAAACTTTTTTTTCATTGATTACACAGGCCTATTATCTATGTAATACTTTTCACATACGTCATTATTAAGGTCTCTTCTCCAGGTTCTCCCAGGACCCCATCAACAAAAAGTGGGATAGAAGTGAAGCTGTACTTGCTCCAAGACCTTCCTTCATCAAAACTTAACCTGGCAGAGAAAATAAAAACAAGAACAATGGGAGCCATTTTTTCTGTAGACAGCATTAAAGAAGATCATGATAAACTAAACATCTAAGAACCTGATGTACTAAATAAAATACTTTTTTCTAACAGGTTTCAGAAAACTGTGAACCTTTAGAAATATGATTTGCAAGATTTTCAAACATCAAAATACTAATGAAGAAAAACACCTCAGGGTTTCCCAAATGAACACTGTGAATATTAGTGTTTTATGGAGATATATTAATTGTCTCATGGAATCAGCCACAGCCATTTGTTGAAAATAATCAAGAAGCTACCACTGGTCCTCCTAACTAAGTATTGTTGATATAAGCAGTGGAGTTTTTCAAGCCTCACCTAAAAATGCTATTAAACCTAAGGTTTGTTGTATGCAAACATGTGTAAAGCTATGACCTGCTTCATAAATTAATATTAAACCATAGTGTGTATTTTCTTTTTTTCCCCATAGTGTGTATTTTCTATGGAATCTCATGACAGTGAAAAAGTAAAATTAACAGCAGATTCACTATAGTCTTGACAAATTTAATATACTGTTAACTTCTCGCAAAAAAAGGGTTGGGGCTTGGGGGAACTATTTCAAGAAGGCAACTCCCATTCCCTGTCTCTGCAAACTTGGTGTTGACCCACCAACACACCTCTGCAGCAATGTGAGTCTGACTGGTCACCTAGGGGCCGGATAGGATTTTTTTTGTTTTTATTTTTTTGCTACTACACCCTTTGAACTGGGCACTGGGGAACTGGATTTGGATTTGGTTTGTGATTAGGTTTTGATCACTGGCAGGTTTTTATGAATATGAAAATTGGACAACACCCATGGCACCCTTTAAGTGTGGAAGAAAGTCTTCTGAAATCATTTCTTTAGGTTTTGGGACTGAGAGGTGAGACTAGAGCAGTGTTTCTCAACCTGGGGGTCAGGACCCTTGTAGAGGTCGCGAGAGGGTGTCAGAGGGGTTGCCAAAGATCATCAGAAAACACAGTATTTTCTGTTGTTCATGGAGTTCTGTCTGGGAAGTTTGGTCCAATTCTATGGTTGGTGGGGTTCAGAACGCTCTTTGATTGTGGGTGAACTATAATTCTCAGCAACGACAACTCCCAAATGTCAAGTCTATTTCCCCCAAACTCCACCAGTGCTCACATTTGGGCATATTGAGTGTTCGTGCCAAGTTTGGTCCAGACCCATCATTGATTGAGTCCACTGTGCTCTCTGGAGGTAGGTGAACTACAACTCCCAAACTCAAGGTCAAGGCCCACCAGGCCCTTCCAGTATTTTCTGTTGGTCATGGGAGTTCTGTGTGCCAAGTTTTCCATTGCTGGTGGAGTTCAGAATTTGATTGTAGGTTAACTATAAATCCCAGCAACTACAACTCCCAAATGACAAAATCAACCCTCCCCAACCCCATATGGGGTATTTGGGCATATGGGGTATTTTTGGCATATTTGGTCCAGTGAATAAAAATGCATCCTGCATATCAAATATTTACATTACGAATCATAACTGTAGCAAAATTACAGTTATGAAGTAACAATGAAAATAATGTTATGGTTGGGGGTCACCACAACATGAGGAACTGTATTAAGGGGTCACAGCATTAGGAAGGTTGAGAAACACTGGACTAGAGACTCTTTTTTGAGGTGACTTTGAACCTTACTCCCTGACTTTGAGGCTCAGGAAGAGCAAGGCCTTGGGGAAGTCTTTCAAGTGCGGGGAGCAGCCCAGGTTTGGGTTTACCTTGGAGTTCTGGTGTCTTCGCCTCAGTTAGGTGGCATCACCTTTTCCATATCAGTGCACCCCCTTTTTGGTTATGGATATCTCTGGTTCACAGTGATAATAAATATTTCAATAAAGATGACCCAATTTACCCAGTGTTCTGGTACGGTCTCATTATTTCATTGGTGGGTCATCAACTAAGTAGCTTCTGTAGAATACTGGGCATTTTTTTTATTTTATTTTTTTTGCATATAGAGTAAGGAATATTACATATTTTGACTGAAACTCCAGAGTTCCCACAATGGTATGACCAGTTGTTTCCTACCTGAGAAACTCTTTAATAATGCTAACCAACACTATTAATAAACCTATTATTCATAACTTAAAAGTTCTGTCTACCTCTTTGTTTTCTGTCTATTCTGAAGTTCAAATTCCATTTCAATTTTTAAAGGAAAAAATGTGTCTTGTCTTGTTTAGATCACAGCACTTTATGCTTAGAAAACAGAATCTTCCACATGGAGAATAATTCCCAAACAGAAAATGTTGTTTTGTGCACAGGAAAAAAAGCTGTAGTTCATGATTTCTTCTTCCTAAAATTCACATGTAGTTGATTTGCACAGAAAGCATAATTTTCTTCTTAGAAAACAACATTTTATACATAGAAAATAATATTTCAATGCAAAACAAATATTAATTCATTTGCAGAAAATCCAACAAATTCTGTTTCCTTGCAGAAAATGTTTTCTTCCTGAGCAAAACAACCATATGCAAATTTTGTGCAGAATAGATCCCAAGCTATGAAGATGTTTACCTGCCCCCAGAATTCTTCTTATTAGAGTTTACTGACAGTAAAAAAAAGGTTTTTTGAATATTTTCAAACATTCTTTCTATCCCCACATTAAAGTTCTATCTGTTGTAGCATTCTCTTTCACAACGGCCAGACAAATCTATGGAAAATATATATTTAGGGTGTCAGTATAATATCACACACCATCTTCATGCCTTTCACACTGCAGATAATATCTAGCTATTGTGACTAGCAGCAACTGATTTTCCCATCCTCCAGAAACTAACATTTATATGGAAATCCTATCTTCATTTAAAAATGAGTCAAACATCGAGTGCAAATTGTTATTACATTTTTAATTCAGTAAGACATCTATAAAACAATGCCACGGCTTCATTCTAACCCAATTCAATATGAACACTATAGGATTTCTTTTGTTGTAGATCTTATGTGTGAAACTGCAATCATTGCTTTAGTGTGATCAAGAGAGAAAGCGTGTAAGTTTCTTAATTGGCGTATCGTGGCACTTAGTTGAAATATTTAGTCATGGCCCAACTGCCAGTGGCATGTAATATATAATGAAGGACTCTATGACTAATGAGATCAGAAAAGTCACAGTAATTACCAGAGATGTCTGATAGGCAGAGATGTATGTTTCATGGCAACCAAAACCCCACCTTGATCCAGATAAAGAACGCTGTGCTCTTCTTCAAAGATCTGGGATAACAGATAAACAGACACAACATTTAATGCTGCTCAGTGTGGGAAACAATTTTGTGACTAAACAGTGACAGGCTTCTTTTTCAAACAAGATATACTAAAAGGAGATGCTGTATGTGTAGTGGTTTGAGTGTTGGCCCAGGAGTCTAAGTGATCTGGGTTCAAATCCAGGTTTCAAATTCCACTGACACTCACAAATGATACTTGCTGGCCTAAGAGAAAATAATGTCAAAACTCTGATTAAACCTTACAAAAAATTCCATGAGAAGGTCAAAATAATTTTGAATTGATTTGAATACATATAACAGCAACAATTTTGCAGGAGAAATGTCAGGAGAGAATGCTACTTGAACATGGCTATGCAGCCCAGAAAACACACAACAACCCAGTGATTCTGGCCATGAAATGTTTTGATAAAAACATATTTATTGGAATAGAAATAGGGACATGAACACTACCACCTACCACTTTATCAAATTGGGGTTTTTTTTTTTGCCCATTTGAAGCACTTTGGAGATGGTGCCTGATGAGCATAATCACATTAGCTGCTCTGAGTCCCTCAATGAGGGAGAGAGTGTGGAGTATAAAAGAAAGTACGTATAAATAATAAATAAATGGCGCTTGGTACACATCATCCCATTTATACTCCTAGTGCCGAGGACGTCTGCAGCAACTGAGAGGTAAGTGGCTTTTGGGTAGATCAGACCTAGCCACATTTTTGCCCTTTCCTTCATCTGATGGGTACAAGGCATCAAAGCTCCTTGCCCCATCCCCATCATGTGATGGGAAAGAGGGAGGGCACAAGGGGTGCCACAAGGGGCACCACAAGGTGCCAAACACACCTGCCATTTTTTCCAGCAACTGCCAGTGAAACAAAACAGGGCCAGAGACCACGTGAAACAGTCCCTAGACAAATTGAACTGTCCTGGGAATCCAGTGGATTTCTCACTTGGATTAAAATATGTCCTGCTACCCACAGGGCAAGGATCACATAATTCAAGGCAATGAAAATGTTGTTCCACTTTAATTAAGATATTTATTGTAAACAAAAAAAGCCACCCCAAAATCAGATAATGTTTTATTTGCAAGCCGTGCAAACACCTTTCTTTATCAACATCTATATCTGTATCTATAGCTATAGTAATGGTAAAGATTTTCCCATGATATTAAGTCCAGTCACATCTGACTCTGGGGGTTGGTACTCATCTCCATTTCTTAGTCAAAGAGCCAGCATTCTCTGTAGGCACCTCCAAGGTCATGTGTCTGGCATGACTGCATGGAGCACTGTTACCTTCCCACCAGAGTGGTACCTATTGATCTACTCACATTTGCATGTTTTGAAATTATTAGGTCGGCAGAAGCTGGGGCTAACAGAGGGAGATCATGCCGCTCCCCAGATGCAAACCTGTGACCTTTTGGTCAGCATGTTCAGCAGCTCAGCACTTCAATCTACTGCACCACTGGGGGCTCCATACATACATACACACACACACACACACACGAGACCTAATTTTGGTCTCCTTCACAAATATTTGAAATTAGCTGCAGATTAGCCCCAGGAAAATTTACCACAGAGGCCTTCCGCCATTTGCAGATTCTAGAAGCAAGCTCCTGCCACATCAAAATGGCGTGATAGTAGCTTTGGAGAGTGGATGAGGAAAATCCCCCTTCCCCTCTCCAAAGTTCCTGTAGTGTAAAAATAACTTGCCGTGGTATGAGAGGCCTGCAAATGGAGGCAAACCTCTCTAATAAGTTTCAGGCTCACTATCAAAAACCAAATTGTAGGGCCAGCTTCGTAGCGTTGATAACAGATTTATTGTGAACCACACACTTATATAAAGAAGTCATAGAAATCCTGAAGAAGGGGAAGTCCCCCGAAGAAGGGGAAGTCCCCCGAAGTCCCCCAAGGTCTCAACCTGGGGACCTTGTCGGGTATCATTTTGGATTATATGGACATTATTTTGGACAATTTGTTCTCAAAGACAATTCTAAGACTGTGTAAATATTTTCCCAATAATTATCCTTTGTTTGGAAAGTTCAAATGAAAGAGTGAAGATACAAACTCTGTATACGTTATGTATTTTCTTCTTGTGACTAATTTGCAACTGTAAACAGATTAACATAGCTAATGATAACACAACACGGTGTGGATAACAGTCTGCAACTTTCATTTTGTTATTGTCTCTAATAAGTTTACCAAGGAAACAAGGGGCTCGAAAGGGATGGTGGCATGGCCATCCTACTCCCTTGGGCTACCAGAACCCAAAAAAGCAGAGTGGCTGTGGGGATTAACCCTCAGGATCATGGAAGGCAATCCGGTTAAAAAAATTGGGCATTAGGCCTCTGTAGATGGGCCCTAAGATGAATGTTTCTAATGACAGATCACAAGAAATAGCAAATTCACTATTGGAGGAGTATTTGCTGTTATGGAGAACTGTTCTATATAACTCTCCATATTTGAGAACTCCTAAATGCCTGATTTTGAATAATCGAGAGAGCCAGAGCCATGTCATGGGTAATCTGGAAAACTTTCTTTGCTATGGTGGATTTTTAATTAGCAGCCATAAACACATTGAAATATATTCTTAGAGTCAAGAGGACAAGCAGTGATCCTCAACATTTTATGTACAAAAGACAAAGTAAGTATCAGTCCAGCACTTCCTCTTTGCTTTGTTAATTCCACTTAAGTATGTACTTGATGCCACTTTATGAGGATAGTTATTGCATATTAATTAAATGCCAACTACTTACTGAAAACATATTTACTGAGGTACAACAACCAAGCATTGTGTTGTGCATCTTATTACCCAGTTGCCAAAGCTCATTAAACGCTTGTACTCGGTGTAATGGATATGCAATTAACTTAACGGGCAGGGAAGCAAACAAAGGATGGTGAGAAGAAAACATTTGTTTGGAAATCATCATTTCTAATTTTGAGACAAATTAACTGAAACTTATTTTACTCATGAGCTCTTTCCCTTAACGCCCCCTCCCCCCGATATTTTAAAGCTCTAATTCACCAGTATCTTATTCCAGAAGATTTGTTTTGCTTAAATTTATGTGAACTCTAAAGAAATTTGCCAGAGTAAAATTCTTATGTATTGACTCCATATAATTATTTTGAGCTCACTATATGTTATATGTCCTCTTAGAACAGTGGTTCCCACCCAACCTTTGGTCCTCCAGTTGTTTTGGATTCAACTCCCAGAAATCCCAGCCAGCTTACCAGCTGTTAGGAATTGTGGGTGCTGAAGTACAAAACACCTGGAGAACTAAAGGCTGGGAATCACTGTCTTAGAAATATACTTTTCACAAACTAGTCTGTCTTTATTTTCAGCTTTTAAAAGTAAGACAAAATATTTTTTATCTTGTTTAGTGCAAATGCAGATGAGGCCTCCTCAGTGGCGGCTCCTAAACTTTGGAATTCCTTCCTTTCTAAGGCTAGGATGGCCCTCTTCGCTGCTTTCCTTCCACTAGTAAATCAAAATAGCCATATGTTGTTAGGCTTTCAGAAATTGATTGGAATGGGCTTTTAATGCTCTTTTGTGCTGTTTTGTAGCTTGAATATAATATTTTAATAATTATAATGGTTTTAACTTCATGACTTGTTTAATTGTCTTTTGAGAAACTTTTATGTTTTATACTTTATATTGATGCTTTTGTACAGTTCTTAATATGGCATGTTGTAATCTGCCTCCCTTCAGTCCCATTGCTGAGGTAAAAGGGCAGGATATAAATTAACAATGTAATAAGAAACAAGTTGCAAAACACCCCCTACCTAATCCTCCACAGAGATGATATTACTATAATCCATGTCCGTGGATTTTGTCCTGGATATGTGAGACATTATGCTTATAGAATTATGGTGAATGATAATATTTTCCCAGATCTGCCAAAATAGGATTTTTAACTTCTCTGAAAGGAGGCCAATGTATCAAATATACCAGTGAAACTAATACAAGGCAGGAAAGTTGAGCCAATTTTAATTTGGAAGGGAATTTCACTTATTAAAAAACATAGTACACGAAATACCAAGAAACAGTGCTTTCCAAATGAAATGAGCAAGCCACTAGGTAATAAAACTCAGTCAAATGTAAATATTACCCCTGGATCTTCCTTGTCTCCTTTCTATTCAAATGAAGAGAAAAGGAAATTATCTTCCACAAAGCAACTCTTCAAAATGACCAGCTTCCAAGAGGAAAATTCAGATGTACTAATAAGTCTTTTAGGGCTTCTAGGTATATAGACAAACTAAGCTATGAGAGGATTTTGCTGTCTATCCATGTCCTTTGTTGAGAGGTATTTCTGAAGATATGAGTGAGTAAAATGCAGGGATCCATTACAACACCTCACTGTATTCAGTAAGAACTAATCCCAAGGAAATGTGTCCAGGATTTCTAAACATTTTGTTGAGAATAGTTCCTACTGAATGAAACAAGACTTCCCTTCCGATTAGACATGCTTGCTCAGTATTACTCTGCTAAACTTACATTTCAATTTTTACGTGGCATTTTAAAAGCTATTTTATATTTGCAGCAGATTTTACTGGCAGCTTTGGATGGTGCTGGAATATGCAGTGTTTTCCGAAGGTTCCGATAACAAGGAGGTAAGGTTAGTATAACTTCCATTACAAGTTAATGAGGATATTTCACCATGAGTAATAGCATGTAAATAATGAATGACATATTCCTGTTCTCATAAAATAATAAGAATTGGAGCAAGGATCAACAAGAGAAATAGAAAGGCAATGAATTTAAATGGAATAGAAAAAAGTATTACATCAAGCAGTTAGACTGCATTGTACCAGAAGTAGACTATTATCAATGACTAGCACTGTCTAAGGATTTCATATACAATAGATAATGACAAGATTCAACTCAATATTTACTAAGACAATAGATAGACAATATTTCATATTAAACTAGGAACAGGATGTCCTAGATTCAAAATCTAGCCTGGCTTTCTAAATATATAAAATTAAATATTGTCATTTAGAAAATGGAGACTTTGTTCTTATCAAAATCTTATTTGAAAACAAGTTGCTGATAGATAATCCAGGTCTAATGAATATATTATGTTTTTGTGGGGCCTGCCAAAATAATGCTACGGGAGATCCTTGGGTTTATTGCAAAGACGTTGAGACTTTCTACCTCATTAGACAGGATTATTTGTCTGTCATATGCTGCTTGCTCTCCACTTTTGACACAAAGCCTATTACACAATGCACAAAGACTTCCTGCCAGACACCATGCCCATAGGAGAGAGAAAGTGGTGAACACAGTGTCAGCAGCAACATAGGAGGCTTCCCATTTTGCCTTTGGAGCAATGGAGGGAAGCTGTGCAGTGACGCTCCCCCTGTGGGATGGGGGTCAAAGTAAGTCTGGTGATGTGGGGCATGGAGGAACGGGTTCTCCATGCCTCATGATGGGACCCCATGGATTCGCCATGATGCATGTATGATACAATATGGCAGTCCTTGGGTTGCATCTACATCTCCTGAAACAATCTGGAGCTGATCAGGACACAACATGGTAGCACCATAGGTTTCAGACAGCTGTCCAGATTAATAATGCATTGGGACCACTGCAGCTGATTTACCAGACAAAAGAGCTCCCTGACTGGGCATTTCTGGTGAGATTATATCTGATAGGCTACAACAGAACACCTCGCCATGTGATCAGCAGAAGAAATATCACCAGCTAGGTTCTGTGGGGAAGCTGCTTTTAGCTAGTGACATAGTAGTAGGTCTGATGAACACCGCATTGGGCCAGATCCAGCCCAGTCAAGCTCCAAACAATTCCAAAATGTATTCAGAATTTATCCAGATGTGTGAAAAAAGAAAAGAAACTGCAATTTAGATTTCCCAAGAGGAGCCACTATAAGGAATAGTAATAGTTTACAACTTGGATCCAAACTCTGAGTCAGATTCAGATCAACATGAAGTGTCTCAGGGCATCATCTGAAACACCAGACATCAAACCAGGCCCCAAATAAGACCAGGGGCCAATGCACAGACCAATCCCATGCTGATGCATTTTTTTCTTTATCTCAGATAGTAAAAATATTAGTGTCATTGAAAGGACAGTTTGTATCTTTTGCCCCCATTGTTTGCCCTTGCTACTCACTTGTCTCCAAGTGTTTCCTGCATCAGATGAAACAAACATGCTGATATCTTGGTCTGACAACTCTGTTCCAATGTTACCTGTAAGCACAACACTATTAAATGAACTCAAAGACATAGCCATGTTAATCTGCAATATCAACATGCAAAAGGCTCTTGTAGCATCTTTGAAACTAATTGAGATAACATAGTTGGCAGCATAAGCTTTCGTAGACAAAAGATGTCAATATACCAAAATAAAGTGGACTCGTTGCTTAGCTATTGCAGGTATTCCATAAGACAGTTGAATCTGCAGCTCAAGTGCTGCATCCAGTCTTTAATGCTGATCAAGGGTGCCAGGAATGTATTCTTGAACATCCAGGAAAATGCAGAAAGATCCTGGAGTTTTGGAGGTGTGGACAACTATCAGGCGAAATCCAGATCAATCCAATGTCTATGCTTCTCACTGCTGCTCCATTATCAATATGCAGGATGACAGTGATATCACATGTCATACCAAGATATCTTGCTATGTGCCAGAAATGTGACATCTCCAGCATGCCTCTGCCAAGGAGCTATTTCTTGGTGATGGTGCAGCACAATGTGGATGACCAAAGAGATCAGGGGATGCTCACAGGCTACATCAGAGCAGCTCTGGAGCTCTTCAACCCATCTTATTTGGGTCCGTGTAGGCACAACTTAAGTTTAAAGTTGCATCTGAGCAAGTACACTTAGCCTACAAAAGCCTATGTTACCAGTTTCATTCTCTAAGTTATTCTCTAAGGTGCTACAAGATTCCTTGGCACACATATTGATTCAAAAATCAGGAATGCTTCCCACATTCATTTGCCTTTAAAATTTAAGTATTTTAATGTCTTGTGGTTGGCTGCTTTAGTCTTTTATGTGAGTAATAATAATTATTTATACATTAGTTCAAAATATCAGACCTTCACACCTATCATGTGCTGCCATGGAAAATAAACATTGATGTAATCATCAGCAAGGAGATAAAAGGTGACAGACTGGAGCTTGGTTCAAGCCTTTCATGCAGGAAATGTGAATCAAGAGTACCCTAGATGGCAACTCAGGGTGCAGCTACACTGTAAAATTAATGAATTAACACCAATTTAACTGACATGGCACAGTGCTATGGAATCCCTGGAAGCTGCAGTTTTGCAAGGTCTTTAGCCTTCTCTGCCATAGAATGCTGGTGCCCTACTAAACCACATAGCTTCAGCTATGGGAGTTGAAATGGAGTCAAATTCCATTATTTCTACAGTGTAGATGCACCTTCATACCCACCAAATCACATCATTTGGAGTGTTCATGGTCCACTTTTCTAAAATGTGGTGTATAATTATAATCATATGTATATAGAGAATTGAAACATTTCTTACCAGAGGCCACAATGATCCCAGGAGCTGTATCCCGACTGGCAATGTTGCCTGAAGTGTATGGGTTCTCTGAAACCTTCAGGTGGAGATGTAGGGAACAATAGGGCTTGAAAGCAAAAGAAGAAATGTTACACATTCCTGAGTTCATAGGTCTACTAGTATCTAGCAAATAAGATAGTTAAGAATACAATAACACAATTTACAGAAATTAATTTAGATTCCATGACAACCAATGGGAAAGATTTTCACCTTTATGCATTCCTTTAGAATACAAATTGAAACCTATTATTGAGGGAAAGGTGGAGAAAAAACAACCAAACAAAAACAAGGCTGAAATGATGTGGCTTGACCTGGTAGTTCTTGAAGATTAACAAAGAATTCAATAAATCATGAACCATTCCTTTGTTAGCCCAACTGAATTCAATTGATTTGAATCACAACGAATACACTACAGACATAAGTATCTGTATAATATGGTAGTGTGATGTGTTTACAAGTGAAGTGCCCTGTTTTTAGCTTCTATTGTTTCTAATTGATGTAATCAATATGATTATATTTTATGCTATTTTAACTATGTGCCTTTAAACAGAATTGTTATCTTTTTAACTTTTGTAAAATAGGTTTTTAGTGAAACTTTTATCTTAAAATTTCATAAGCTTTGGGTCCCAAGAGAAAGGTAGGGCGTAAATTGAATAAATGAATGAATAAATAAATAGCCTTAAGCCATCATCTGTCAATGTATATATGCAGCAATGAGAGAGGGGAAGCATCAATTCTGTCAAAGAGATTTTTGGCAAAAAAACATATTTTGGAAATGTCCCTTTTGTGTATAAACATTAACTTTATAAAACAAAACAAAAAAGAACCTTCTTAAGAACCCTCCAAATGTTGCTGAATTATCAGCTCCCTGAGTAAAACCACATAATGCAGTATGAACTGCACTGAACTGCATTATATAATTCTACACAGACCACATAATACAATTTGCCCCAGCAGCCCCCATTACTGGCTATGATAGCAAGGGCTTCTCAGGAATGAAGTCCAACAATATTTGGAGGGCTTCAGAATTTCTACCCCAGCTTCAGAAAGTTCCAGTTGGGTGCAGGGCATCTGCCGAAAGTCACACAATGTCGTGTGATGTCCGGTGTCTGTCTCCATCCCCCAGAAAGGGTGAAAGTGGTGTATATTTCATCCCATTGGATGAGGACGTTGTACAGCTCAACACTGTACAAGTACCAAGAATAGATTACAACATTTTGCTTCTGGAGAAGGTGATCAAGATGGCACACTTATTCCATGTATAGATGTTGGTCAGACTGGATCCTCTATTCCACCAAAAGGCAGGATGTGGGTGTGCAAAGCAGGGCATGACACACCTAGTTCATCTTACAGTATTTCACTGCTTCTGTACCACTCAACCTAGTGCCTGCTTGCAACCTGCTTAAGGAAACAAAAGAGCTGGATGGCATCCACATCATAGAATGAATGCAGTTTGACACTTCAACAGTCATGGCTCAATGCTATGGAATCATAGGAATAGTAGCTTGGTGAACTGCAAGCATTATTTGGCAGAGTGCTAGTGTCTCCTGTGACACAGCAACTCCCATGATTCTATAGCACTGAGCCATGGCAATTAAAGAAGTGTTACACTGTAGTGTAGATGCCCCCTAATCTGTGTGCATAGAAATTTTGTGTTGACAAGATGCCTTCCAGTATACTTAGCCCAAGCTAGTTGCTTGTCTCCTTTCTCATATTCTCTTTTTCAACTGCTCTTCCCAGTGTATTTCAGACAAAGAAACAATTACAGTCCACCTGACCTGGCCAAGAAAAAATAAATACTGCTAGGATAGAAATGGCTGGTGGAAGATTGGGCTGCCCTCTGAATAGACAGCCTAATGTGAGGTGCCTAATGACACACACCGACCTTGGTTATCAAAGGATGCTTACTGTTAAAAGTTCTCAGAGATAATTCCTCAAGCTTTGGACTTGTCATGTCATTTTAAGTTGCTTTCCCACTATCAGTGATCCTAAGGAGAACTTATCATAGAGCTTTCTTGGCAATGTTTTTTTTTTTTTGGGGGGGGGGGGATGTCCTTGTCTTTCTCTGAAGCTAAAAGAATGTAACTTGGCCTTGGTCATCCAATTGGTTTTCAAGACTGAGAGGCCTTTCAGACAGGTCCTATATCCCAGGATCTGATCCCAAGTTTTCTGTTTTTCCCAGATTATCTGGCAGTGTGGACTCATATAATCCAGTTTAAAACAGAAAACCTGGGATCAGATCCTGGCCCTGTCTGGAAGGGCCCTGAGTGGGGATTCAAACTCGTGTCTTAGAGTCATACTCAAATGCTCAGACCACTACACCAAGCTGTTATCTTCTGAACATAGGACTATTGTCCTAAAATAATACATTATAGAGAGAAGATATAAATAGCCAATTACAGTTTTTAACATTTATTTGAGTGAATGGTGGCAATATGTGAGAAGGAGAAGTACCAAATGAAATAACGCAACAAGGACATCTTCTCTTCACTTACACATCCTGGGTTTGTAACAGTCTTTTAAAGCTAGCATAATCCCTCAAAGATCAACCAAATCTCAGCTATTCCACATGGAAAAGGCCTGTGAAGGTTACATCTCTTCCTGCTATTTATTCAGCTAATGAATACTTGCAAAACTGCTGGAAAGCAGATTATTGTTAAATGCCAACGAGCTTTGTTTCAGATGATCCGTTCACCTGCTGTCCAATCCAAGGAGAGCCCCTGGGAATAATACCGTTCCTCCTGCTCTCCAACATTTCAACATGTTGTGGAAGACATCAGCCCTGAAAATCATGATGGCATGTGCTCCCAGAAGGTGAATGTGATAGCAGTGTTGGGAGGTATAGTCTTGCTGATGTGACAAAAGGCAAAGAAGGACAGAACTGAATGAATGGACACATCATGAAGCAAGTTTAATATACCTAACACCATTATAGCAACTGACAGCCTTGGAAGGATTACACTTTGTAGCAAGCCAACACATTGGAGCTGAGATAGGAAAAGGAATTTGCGTTCATTTATATCATCTGTTCTGAATGCCAAACGTGATCTCTAAAAAACAAAGCCATACAAAGAATCCTATGGCATGTTTAAACCTTTAGGAAATTGATATTATTTTTCCCCACTTTGTAATCTGCCATATATATATATATATATATATATATATATATATATATGATAAAGGTTTTCCCGTGACATTAAGTTCAGTCGTGTCCGACTGGGGGTTGGTGCTCATCTCCATTTCCAAACCAAAGAGCCAACGTTGTCCATAGACACCTCGATGGTCATGTGGCTGGCATAACTGCATATATATATATATATATATATATATATATATATATATATATATATATTCTTATTTTTAAATTTTAATATATTCAGTTTATATGTCCAAACATTTATTTTATATTTTAGTCTCCAGCACTCAATAAATCAAAATACAGAACTATGCAGATAGTAATCTTGAACTGGTACAGTACAACCTAGTCAGCTGATCTGTTACATCAGTCTTCCATTTCTCTTTCAAGGCTACAGGAAGTATCTTACAAATTCTAAGAACTTTAATCTACACATGTGTTTTAAATTTCCCATAAATTCTGAAAAGTGCATACATGTGCATATGTTGGAGGAAGAGGGGAACAGAAGGAGGAAAACAGACCATATTCTCATTATTTTCACATATTGTTCCCCTTGCTATGTAGAAAAGAGGGTACAAGAGATTAAATTTCTGAGACTATTACCTACCCACACGCTAGTAAAGTTTTTTAAATTATTCTCTGTGTAGTGAACAAAGAATCGAAACATAGGCTGGATCTACACTGCCATATAATGCAGTTTCAGAATGCAGATTAACTGAATTGAGCAGGATTGTATGAGTCTATGTTGCCAGAATGTGAATTCTGAAACTGGATTACATGGCAGTGCAGATCCAGCCTAAGACTATGTTTTCATGGCCAAACTAATGTGGATTTACCACTAAAATGCTTCAATGACTCCACAAAATGCATGGGTTGAATTCACAGCATACCTGCTGCCAGGGCTGTAGTTAAGTGGGGTTTAAATAAACCTGGTGTACTTAGAATTTTAACTGGTTAACCAAATCTCCATGCTAAGTCTATGAGAAGCAAAAATTAAACAAGTCCCTCCAGCACTGCAAGCATTATCTCAAGCTATTGTTGACAATTTATTCATACTGTCATCACTTGTAGCAATAGCTGATATAGTGGAAGCAACCAAGTTGGCCCACCCATAACTGGCAGGCAAAGCCTAAGACATGGGGGAGGGGTGGATATGAAGGCCCTCATGAAGGACACCAGACTTGGTGGGGGTTGACAGGGGCAGAGCTGCAGGCTATTTAAGGCTGCTCTGCCCCTCTGCTGTGTTCTTTGCTTCACCTTGAGGTAGGAGGCAAGTTTCTAATGGGGAATTAGACTTTCCCCCCCTTGCTCCCCCCTCCTCTTTTCCAGATAGTAGGGTTCCCATTGCTATGCCTATATATAGGTTGTTTTCAACTCCTAAATGTTTGAAAACATACATAAGAAGCAAATGGGGCATGAAAGACTGTCTGGACTTGCACTCTTGAGTGTCCACCGAAGTTTATCAATGGAGCCTGATTTCTGTCAAAGTGTATTGACACAGTTTTCAAGTGTTTCCAACAGACGTTGTGCTATTCTTTTGTAACTATAAATTGCAATTAACAGTCATTTTCAGTTATTTTAAGACTTGAAAATTTGTAACTAAAATAGAAAATTGATTTAATTAAGTCTATATAAAAACACAGAATGAACTATACTGTTTACATTATTTTGTGTTATGGAATGACCGTGATTTGCTAAAAAAAAGTTTCAACACCCTCCCCTCACCCCCACCCTCCGAAATTGGCTATGTCCCTGACTGCTGCACCCGGTTGTTACTCCAACACAGTGGAACAATCTGCTGTGCACACAGCTAATGGGCCCACCATTGTGTTGCCTCCAACAAGCAGCTCTTTCCCAGAGGCTTATTTGCGATGTTCCTTTCTGGTGCTGTCATGTTGTGCCGTGAGTGAGAGAAATTTCAGTGGGAGAGAGGTTTTGCTATGCTGAAACATCAGGATTCATCTTATTCATGAAGGAAGAATGTCATAGTACTGTCTCTGTTCCTGTCTACATTCATTATCAAAAGCATTTTGAGCACTCTACTATTTATATCCTTTCTTCAGTCTCCTGCACAAAAGCAACCATAGGGTGTTTGCTTGGATCAACAGTAGTTGCAATCAGTTCAGAGCAAAAGTATCTGTGTGAGTTTGGAGAACATTGTCTTATATTGACATCCTAAGGAAGAGCTGTATTAGTGTCCATTTGAAAATAGGTTTGTCAAGGAAAGTGTAGGAAAGGCCAGTATTATTTATTCATTTATTTAATGCATTTGTATCTTTACCTTCTATGTAGTATGAGATACAAGGCAACTTACCACATATTAAAATAGAGGTAAAACCTATTTCATACAAAAGTGAAAAAGTTCAGTTAAGAATTATATGTTTAAAAAGCCCTAAATTTAAAAAGTTTAAAACAAATTTAAACATAGTAATTCCTAAAAACACAACACATTCCAATAACATTCTTTCTGCCATGGTAGGTAAAAAGCCAAGGTAAAGGTAAAGGTTTCCCCTTGACATGAAGTCTAGTTGAGGTCAACTCTGTTGGGTGGTGCTCATCTCCATTTCTATGCTGAAGAGCTGGCGTTGTCCAAAAGCACATCTTAAGTCATGTGACTGGCATAACTACATAGAGTGCCATTACCTTCCAGTACCTATTGATCTACTCATATTTGCAGAAGCTGGGGATAACAATGGGAGCTTGCCGCATCCTGCGGATTTGAACTGCCAACCTTCTGGTCAGCAACTTCTGCAGCTTAGCAGTTTAACCCGCTGCACCACTGTGGCCCCATAAAGGAAACCCAGAGGCCTGCCGAATAAAAACCAGAACTTGGGAGAAGCCACCAAGAATTCTCTCCTTGTGTTTCTCCCACTTGCACCTGTGCTTAGGGCAGGATGGAGATACAGCCCTTCCTTGAATATCTTAAAAGTCAAAGTATGCAATAAAAGTTGTACAAGCCAGACACAATATTAGTGTGTACACAAATGAGTGAGTTAGTATGTATGGAGAAAAAATAGATATGTAATTTTCAAATAAACTTTCATGAACTTCTAATTATTTATTTCCATTTTAAGCACACATCCTACAAATTCACTCTGAGGAAACCTAGTAAATTTGCATAGTTTGAAAATTCAACCTGGTAACATTCTTTTCACCCAATGGCAAAATAACCCCAAAATTTCTACTAGCCCATTTATCTTTCTTTTGCTTCCACAAATAGCTCACTAACCTCACCTAGTGTTCTGATTTATAATGGCACAGCATCCAACAAATGTTTCCAAAATGCATCAGAAAAAAGTTAATTAGTATAACAAAACAGATGGAAAAAATCACTCCTGTTACATTTCTGCCTGAGCTTCTCTAATGAAATTAAGTGAATAAAATTCTAGTGAAAGATGCATTTAATAGTCATAGTACCAGTAGGGAAAAAAAAACCTTGCCACCATTTCCCATAAAAACAACTTACCAGGAGGCAATGAACTGGGTTTCCTCTCAGATCCGTGTCAGGGGCCTGCAGCAAATGCCAATCTCTCCCTTTATTGTAGGTAATGAAAGTTTTCACTTGGTTGTCAATCTTCTTGTTAGCCAAGAACATTCCCTTTATGCCTGCTACCTAGGAAAAATTGACATGACTGAAAAACAGATACATTTGACACTGATTGTGTATGTATTCCTACCTGTCAAACCTAACTTTGGGACATGGTTCAGTGTATATTTACAACAGGCTCTATGGTGAAATATGCATCAAAGTCTCTTATTTCCCTTGAGCTGGTACAGATTAATATGAAACACCACCGTGGATCCAAAGTTCAGAGCTTGTCGGAGAGAAAGTCATGAGGGGAAATCTTAATGCAGTATAATTTCTAGGGAATTGCCTATAAAAACAGTCCTTATTCATAAGAAAGTTATAATTTATATATTTATAATATTTTAAAATCAGGATATTTTGAGGAAGAACGCAAATAAAAACAAAAACAATCCATTTTGAAAATGCAAAAATAAATTAGAAAAAAATATGGAAGATCAGTATTATATATGAACACTGCAGCAAGAATCATTTATGCCTAGAGACAAAAAGAACCAGACATCCTCATGTAAAAAAATGGCCGAGGAAGATAAGTGAATAATATATTTTGACAATGTTGATCAAAGAGAAATCCTTGAACAAATTTAAGAAGACTGTGATCCGTTTATTACTTTTTTATAGTTAAGATAGGAACACTCTTTGATTGGGTTGCTGTGAGTTTTCCGGGTTGTATGGCAATGTTCCAGAAGCATTATATCCTGATGTTTTGCCCACATGTATGACAGGTATCCTCAGTGGTTGTGAGGTCTTTTGGAAACTAGGCAAGTGAGGTTTATAAATCTGGGGCATGACCAGGGTGGGAGAAAGAACTCTTGTCTGCTTGAGGCAAGTGTGAATGTTGACCACCTTGAATAGCATTTAATGGCTTTGTAGCTTCAAAGCTTGGCTGCTTCCTGCCTGGGGACTCCTTTGTTGGGAGGTGTTAGTTGACCCTGATTGTTTCATGTCAGTAATTCCCATTTTTTGAGAGTTCTTATTTATTTACTGTCCTGATACTGGTAGCCAGATTTTGTTTATTTTCATGGTTTCCTCCTTTCTGTTGAAATTGTCCACATGCTTGTGGATTTAAATGGCTGCTCTGTGTAGTTTTAAAATTTAGAATTGTGATATTAAAAGTAGAAGGGCAGAAATATAGTGAAACTTAAAGGGACTAACAAATAGGTAGTTAAAATCAATAGGCAATGAATGTGAGTCTCGTAGAGTAGTTTTAGTAGTCATTTCAGTAGATACCTGTTTAGATTGTGTTTAGGGACATATATTGTAGATAAAAGTCTGTTAAGTGTTATAGCTTAGTTTTATATATAAGGAAAACTTGTTTTGGTTTTATATGGTGGTGGATTTTTACTTTGCTCTTTTTGGTACTATTTTTTTTGTCTTTCTATGATTTTTAAGTCTGTAATCATCTTTTTCTGTATGTTTGGATAAAAATAGTTTTTTTAATAAAAGGAAAATATGACAACAAAATAAGGAATCAATAATAATGAAAGGAAGCATTAACTATTAAAACCTTATTTACATCAGTTATCTAAAGAAGTTTAAAAACAACAGTGCTTCCACATGAACAGAGTTTCATAATGAGGGTGGTTCTCCCCAAAAGACCCTCTTCAAGAAGGCCCTCCTCATATCACCCTCAGTGCTCCTGTAACTAAAATCCAAATAATTGAAAGAAAAGCATAAACAAGTTCAAGGCCTTAAGAAGAGACACAAAGATTATAAGTTTTAAAGGGGACAATGGGTTTAGCTCCAAATAAAACTGAACTGGATGCAAGAAGCAACATGAAAAACAGCTTTGCTTTGTCAAACAAGTTTGGCTTTCTCATCTGGTAAAAATCAATAACACAATATCTACCACAGCATGAGACACACTCTCATTGTGCCAATTGCTGGTTTGTAGTGAATGAGGGAAGAGGAGGGGGATTTTTTTTTTGTCCTGCAGAGGAGTGCATCTGGTTCCTGCATCCCGCACAGTTTTCTTGGCAGGGTCATGCAAGAACTGATATATAATGTCACCCGGGAAGCCTCTTTCTTCTTAGCTATTACGGTTTAATTGGCATCCAGCCGCAATATATTTGAGTGGTAGGAGAAGTTATTTGATTTTTCAGCATACACTGTTAACTAACTATTTAAGAAAGAACATGATCAGAAGCTGAAAATGAGGACAGTTCCATTTTTAACACATCTGGCAAGATGTGTAGAGGCATAACATTTGTCATGTTTGTAAGGATTCCTGTGTGATGTAGAACTCTGGTGGGATCCAAGAGTTGCTATAATTTGTACTTGGAGCATGTCCATGGCCAACCATTTTGGTGCCTTATCCTGGACAACAGTAGAGGTGGCAGTGAATGCTGATTGGAAGGTAACAAGTTTTTTATTGATTTGTAAATCTTGTGAGAGAAATACACTTGTACATTTACAAATGTATTACCTATGACGTCCTTCTGATGTTTGGGGAGATATTTAAAAAGGTAATTGCACATACACATATATACGTAAACACACAGAGCACAGACAAGGTGAAGGATAATATACTCAAGAACTTAATGCAGGTTAATTCAGAAGGCCTCAGGACTCTCCAAGCCACCCTCTACCCATCCTCAAATAATTTTTGCTCAACTGTTCATTGTAACTTCCATTTATAGCAAAGTGTGAAGCCACCATCTTGTTTTAGTGAAAAAGCAAAAACAATTCCCCTGCCAATCAGACTTTTCTTTTCAAACTCAAAGTGATCTTTCAGTTATTTCTGAGATGAATAGAGACTGGAATAGCTACTCAGAGCTCATTGAGTTAGAAATATAGCTATTATTATTATTATTATTAATATTAATATTTGATACATGGCAAGATTAGTACACAGCAAACAAGGTAACTATGCTGGCTTTTGTATTTGATCACACGTCTGACACTTCCCAAGTGTCTAGGACTGTGTGACGTATTGGCAAATAATGTGTGCAGATCTGAGTAGGGTGGCCTTTTGCAGCTGATAGATGTTAATTTTGTCAGTGTTTATTGTTTTTAAGAACAGACCAAGGTCTTTAGGCACTGCACCCAGTGTGCCAATCACCACTGGGTCATCTTTACTTTGTTATTGTTATTATTATTATTATTATTATTATTATTATTATTATTATTATTATTTGAAACACAGCAAGATGAGTCCACAGCAGACAAAATATAACAATATCATTATTATATTTGTTTCCTGCTTTTCTCCCAGGACTGGTACCCAAAGTGGCTAACTATTAAAATCAAGCTCAATATTACAACCATTAAAATGATTATCTAAACAAGTATAAACAACTGTTTAAAACCTTTTCCTAACTAATCCTTTAAGGCTTGCCTTTTTCCTACACAGCAACAAGGCAGCAACCCTGTTCTGCTTCTGATCTGGTAAAGAAATTAGGCATTTCAGAACTTATTGAACTGATTCCTTCCTCCTATGAAAAAGCCTAGATCTGACAGCCTCAGCTCCTATACCTGTAACATGACAAAGAAAGTGGGATTCAAAACCTCCCTTCTGAAGCACCTTCCCCACACCCTGCTGCCTTAGATATCTTTGTGTATTTTAGAATTAAGACCTTGAACAACCTTTGTAAGTATGTTCTGCAAGATACATTTTACAGACCTCTCACAACTGGGAATTTGCCATATCAGATCATGGAAGATTTGTGAGTGTATTCATCCAAACACACTTACTAAACCTTTTTTCTGATCTTCACACTGAATGCACAAAACCAACAAGGCATCTCTGGGCACAGAAGTGGAATGTATACACGCACACCTATCCCTTCTCCAGTTTTGCCCAATCTCCCTACAAATAGAAAGACTTGGAGATGTCTTTCTTATTATACTTGCCATGAAACTGCACAGTGGACTATATAATATGTGGAAGATATAGTTTACTGAGCATTTAAGTAAGTGATGGAGAAAGCTTTCTCAGTTAAATTTCTGTATATCAGCACATTGTTAAAGGTCCAAGAATTCTTCCTTTTTTCACAAATATGCAGATAATTTTGAGAGATCATTTATTTACATCTTTATAGTATACATATTCACTTAAATTATATCACACTTTGACATTACAGACTAAAACAGTACAGAGTTGGCAATGTAACTAATCATCTATATTTCACAATCAGTGCTAAAAATAAATAGGAATAGGTGTCATGCTTCATATATTTTATTTTTCCAGCAAGATATTTAATCTTTCAAAAAAACAAATCAAGAGAACATTTCATGGAAATAAACAAAGTTCTACAAATGTAAAGAGGGTTCAGCTTCATCAGACACTTTGCAAAGAATATAAGATGGCTATAAGTCACATAAATAGTAACTCTGTAATTTGTATGCATGAGATAGATTACAGAACATGTCCTCATGGTTGTCCAGTTACATATGGTTCCTATGATGGTATCTGACATGATGGCATCCGAAAACTGAACTTTCAAAACATTTCGTATCAGACATTAATTTATTTAGTTTCGGCAACTACTATGAGAGATGAGAAATAATTTTGTTATACTTGCCACTCTGGTTGAACATGAACATCACAATACAACATAAAACAACAACAGGAAGAAAATTGAGATCGTATGTAAAGAAACTGAAGAAAATCAAGACTCTAAGACTTTCTCTTCTGTAACTAGAAAACAAAACATCTTAATTGCACCAGTTCAGCTCTAATCTTAGAAACTAAACAGAGTCAATGTGCCATCAATGAATACTCAATAGTTCAGATGCCCCATTTAAACTGACAAATAAAATCCAGATTATCTGCCTTGAACTGGATTATATTGGTCTACACTGCTATATAATCCAGTTGAAAACAGATAATCTGGAATCAGGCCCGTAGCCAGGATTTCGTTAGGGGGGGGGGGGGGGCTAAAAATTTTTTGGGGGTTTCGGGGGGGCTGAGTTTCGGGGGGGGGGGTGGTGAGTCTGAGTGAAAGAGGGTCTAGCCTAGCAAACCTTTTGTATCATTACCCCAATACCCCCATGCATATGGGATATATTGAGTATGGTGATCAGAT